TCAGACCAACGGCCAGACAGAGAGGGCCAACCAAAGTTTGGAGACTGCGCTGCGCTGTGTTGCGGCTCACCATCCGGTCACCTGGTGCTCCCACCTGCCATGGATCGAGCACGCGCACAACTCCCTCACCAGCGTGGCCACAGGTATGTCGCCCTTCATGTGTTGCTGTGGTTTTCAACCCCCATTATTCCCCGACCAGGAGCTAGCAGTGGCCACCCCGTCGGTGAGGGAGCACGTCAGGTGCCTGCGAGAGGTGTGGGCACTCACCCGCAATGCAGCCCGGACTAAGCGGATAGCGGACAAACACCGGTCCCTAGCCCCTGAGTACCGTCCCGGTCAGATGGTGTGGCTCTCTTCCCGTGACCTCCCATTACAGACTGAGTCACGTAAGCTGTCAACCCGTTTCATTGGTCCCTTTCCTGTCGTCAAAGTCATTAACCCCTCTGCTGTCAGACTCCAGTTACCGGACTCTCTTAAGATCCACCCTACCTTCCATGTGTCCCTCCTGAAACCTGTCGCTTCCTGTGACCTGAGCCCTCCGGCCATCGCCCCTCCACCCCCCCAGATCATTGACGACCACCCCGCCTTCTCTGTGTCCCGGATTCTGGATGTGCGGCCCCGAGCACGGGGTTTCCAGTACTTGGTCGATTGGGAGGGGTATGGCCCTGAGGAGTGCTCATGGATCTCCCAGAGGCTCATTCTGGACGCATCCCTGCTATGAGACTTTTATGCTGCTAACCCGGACAAGCCTGGTAGGACGCCAGGAGGCGTCCGTTGAGAGGGGGGTACTGTGGTGAGCATGGATTTTTGGCTTTTATTTTATGAACATTTCCGGAGTCTACTTCCTGTGTGGGTTGTGTGCTGCTGTGTTTACCTGTCTCCAGAGGCTTCTCCCCTCCCCCGCCCTGCACTGAGGCTGAATGTGCACACCTGAGAGTCATCTGCAATCAACGGGCTTTAAGACTGCCACCGACTCTAGCCTCAGTGCCAGAGTATTTGCGACTGCACGCAGTGGTATCTCGGCTCCTCTTTTCCTCCAGTGATTTGAGTAATCTTGCAAGTTTGATTGTGTTTTTTGCTCGTCGAGTGTTTAACCCTCGTTCTCCTACCTTTTTTCCAGTGTCTCCCTCC